CTTCTTGTGTGATCAACATGAAAATATTATTCCATTACATGTGGAATTTAATATTGTTTTAAAGGACAAAAATATCATTAAGGGTCCTTATGGCTTGTTTTATTTTTGTATAATAAAACATCAATCCAGAACAGTTTTGTCCAGTTTACTATGTCTCTCATAAGGTATTGCGTCCTTGGTTGTCTGTGACATACAACTCTACTCACTGTTAGTAATTAACAAAGAAAGACCTTTACATGCAAAGCAAAACTGAGAACATTAGACACTGTTTTAAGATGAATAAAAAGATTTTTCATCTCTTTATTGCAGAAAACATGCAATTATCTTTCACATAAAAGTATAGTGCAACAGCATTTTTGATGAAATAAATATTCTCTTCACGGGGGTCTCAACTAAGTTAGATAACAGAAAATTCTGTGGCGTGGTGTGTATGACAAGCACCCCCTGGAATGGAAATTATAGGGGTGTGGGTGATCTAAAGTAAAAGTGCCCTCCAAAGGGGTGGGGTTGGGAGGGGTATTATGGATACTAGAATACTAAAAACTAGATACTAAAATTATAGGGGTGTGGGTGGTCTAAAGTAAAAGTGCCCTCCAAAGGGGGGGGGGGGGGGTATTATGGATGTTTTCTGGAACTACACATTACAGTTTACTCAATCACAGTCCACTGTAAGTTGTGAGTCAGGCAACAAATAACCCTTGTTTTTAAGATGTTTTTGTGGTAGAAGTAGTATACATGTAGTATTAAGAAGTCTTCGCATTTTTTAAACTTTCTTTCCAATATTATTTCAACTCAGTTGCTTTAAATGTCAGAAAGTAGGTTAAGTTTCTTGTAATTGATTTCTTGGAATCGAACCCATTACAGTTGAACCTCTCTAACACGGACACCGAAGGGACAGAGCGAAGTGTCCGAATTAGAGAGGTGTCCATATAAAAGAAGTCAATACGATGACATCACTTTTGTGACTCCACTTACAGTTTTAAGTGTTCATGCAAACCAGGCTTGCGCTTGTCTTTAAACTGCATTGAAGTTTATTAATTCACAGTACTAAGACACTGTCTTTCAGTAGCATACAAAATTGTACATATCAGATACATACGTATAGTCGTAGACAAATCACTGTTTTAAGACGAAAAGAGCTACAGCACAATGCTGCATGTAAAACGCTGTAACGTAAAGCACAATTCTGAAAGCGCCTTTCGCTATTTTGCAAGTAGTAAACAGTAACTAGAGTACAAAATGTAATAGAAAAGATCTTCATGCTATCTGTAGTTATTGAAGCCTTCAAAAAGTTGGTTATTGTTCCTCTGTAGACCTTTTGCAAATTAATTGTTTGGTATACAGCGACTGGGCTTTTGAAGTCTCTGAGGCCAAAATTTAGTGTCCATTGTCCTTATTAGAGAGAGTCCATATTATAGATGTATATTTTTAAGGTCAATATAGGAGAATTTATTACATTAGTAGGAAGAAAAGAGAAATCCATTTGTGGTGTGTTTACATCTTCCATAAAATGTCCGCTGACAGAGGGAATATTATGCGGCTTTTATGCAGTGATGTCAAAAAAGTGTGACTTCTTGTTTTGCCTAGGAGTTGTATAAAATTAATGTATTTTGTATTTTCATCTTCCATAAAGTGTCCGCTGACAGGGGGAATTTTATGCGGCTTTTATGCAGTGATGCTAAAAAAGTGTGACTTCTTGTTTTGCCTAGGAGTAGTATAAATGTGTTTTGCTTTTTTGATGTCTTTGTTGCTGTTGTAGTTGTTGTTGCTACAGCTCTCTATTTTGATCTGAAGGGGCACAGCGTCATGACATAATGGAAAAATCCATGTATAAATTTGTATGTGGTGAAACTACCGGTCATTACGAAAATGTTCCTGTTTTGTTAAGAGGTACGTTTTACACATACAGTGTAAGTGCAAATAAAAATGAAACTTTCATCAGTGAATGAAGACATGAAAAATCATGAATATTTTGTTATTTGAAAACTCAGTGAGGCTAATATTATCATTTTTAGCTTGAATTATTATTGCATCTTGAACAGATTGCTGAAAATATTTTGTTCTTTTCTTTTTTTGCCATTCACAGGGAGTCAGGAATTTGCATTTAGGAGGGTACAGTGTTGTCAATTTATGCGATTTTTCTAGAATGAGATTTTAATAGATCAATTGAAAATTTATGGTATAACGATTTACAACAAGTTTAGAAAGTTAGAAAGAATTGTACAAGATGTTTCAAAAGCTGAGTAGCAGACACGTTTAACATTCAAGTTTGTTTTGTAGATGTTTTTAAATAATTGTTGTGACTTAACCTTATGGATTAATTAATTTGGCCAATGACATAGAGTGTATTTTTTATTTTTAGGAATCTACAGATTTCGTAGTTTTTTTAAGTATACAAATTCATCAAAACAATTTTTGACAAATTTTTTCAACACTCTGTCACCAATTTGGCACACTATTAACAGGGTGCAACAAAAGTTGTATCTGATAGCCCAAGGCTAGTGAAGCAATTCATGAGGTGTCAATTGAGTAAGCAGCATTTGCCAAGATTAAGAGTAATCTGAAATGCTACAGAAAAGGGGTTGGTTGACCAGCATGAATGCTGTTCTGTGGCCGCTAAATTTCAGCCACAGTTTGCCCAAAAAGCAATGAGTTTTAGTTTTCATCTCACCCTAATTCAGGCACCTATCAGCTTCTTCTCAGTAACAAAGGAGCTGTGACATTAAGCAACAGTAAGGGTGGATTTAGGGGTGGGCCAAAGCGGGCCTTTTTCCTTGAAATTATTTTGTAGTATTTTTATAGAACTCTCGGAACAATTAAACGTTTCTATATAGCCGGCAAGTGGGCAAGTGTCCCAGCCACCCTTTTCTGAATTTTCTGGATCCACCCCTGGCTGCTGCTGGTAAGATGAGTTCATGAGAGATTTCTCCATTTCCGATAACTTATTTAGAGACCAAACACCAATTCCAGCATACAGCAAATAATACAAAATGTACATGTATGTATTGCATGCCATTATCAAACTGGAATAAATTATGCAAAAGATGCCATTTAAACCCCACTAACCCAGTAGCCCAGAGAAAACAGAAAAAATAACTCAGGTTTGTGGAGATGGACCAGATCGAGAGATCTAGTTTGGGACATACACGGGAAAGAACTAATAATTTCTGTTGTCGGTGACTTGACTGACAGCCTTCTTTGTGTATTTTCCTGCAGTAATAACAGTTGCTTATGCTTGTCAGTAGATCAATAACAAGTGATGATGGTGTTTAATTTTCATCCCTTTTTCTAATAATTTAGTTTTTGCTCCTGCTCTTCGTTGAATTACCTTTCCATGTTGTTTTTCCAGATCTAAATCTGCCAAAGGCTGGTCTACATGATGTAAGATCTTTCGGTTGTTTTTCTTCCTGTGGTTCTGATACTGTGTAAGGTTTCCTTGGGTTTCTGAGGTTGAAATTGAAATAGCAGTTACAAAAACAAGCTGCATGTA